AAAGTAAAATTTTGGAACAAAATAGGATTATTATTAAAGTTTTAGAAAACGGGTGTGGCCCCGCCCACTTATGATGAAATGTTTTATCTCAGTATCCGCTTCACTAATCCGTACCAAACTCGGTATGAGCTTAGGCTATATCTAACATAACTGCTAAAAATTCTTGAAATCGGGCGATAACCACGCCCACTTCCCATATAACGGTAATTTACAGAAACGCTAAAACTGCGATAAATCAATAACTACTGAAGCTAATTCACTCTAAATCGATTATTGGAATAACCTCTTGGCATTAATTAAAACTCTTATAATTTTTTGGATAATGGACGTGGCGCCGCGCACTTTTGACCATAAATGTATATCTCCTTGACCGATTTATCAATTTGTACCAAACTCGGTGCACTTGGTATGGAAAAGCAATGCGTTGAAAAAACGAAAACTCCGATATTTCAGTAATTGAGGACGCTAATTTACTCCAAGTTAATACTTACAAAATTCTATAAAAATAAATAAGACTGTTGTTATTACAAAAATGTAGTTTTACTACATTGGGTGCGTTCGAGCTACGTAATAAAGGGTGAACACACCAAAACTACGACACTTTGGGAAGCTTATAACTTACCCAAAACGAATTCAATATTTTAAAATTCAAATACCATAAGCCGACCACATGACCTTAGTTGGACGTAGAAGAAATTTCATTTGAATTTGATTCCTAGTTGAGTTAAAAATGGCAACCGAGTTAGAAACGAGACAAACCATTTTGCACGAGTTTATAAATGATCCGGCCTTAAGTACACGTAAAATTGCTAAAAAATTAAAGATTGCACTATTCGACAGTTTGCAGGGTTTTAATCGGTACAAATAAGGCCTGGCAGTTACGAGAAAACCAGGGAGCGGGGGTTAGCATGGTCAAAGTGATAAAAACAGTGCTCGGAAGGTCCTCAGTGCGTTTTCGTGAAATCCGAAGATTTTGTCGCGTTATGTTGCAAAATCCGTACGCAGATCGCAGTTTTTCGTACAAAAGGTAAAGCGAAAAGCGCCAGACCGAGGCGCAAAGTAGAATGTTACAGCGAAATCCCGCATTCGGAAGTTGTATGAATTTTAAATTAAAAAATACAACTGCATTGTTATGGACTACAAAACCTACTGCTATAAAAATTCAAAATATATTTCAGGTCAAGACTTTTATACTGGTGCAAGTCGTCAAGATGCCCCTGAAAGTTGTAAGCTGAAAATGAAGTCCAAATTTCCAAAAAAACCACATGGTTTGGCAAGCTATTTGATCCTGTGGCCGTAAGAGCAGCCCTTTTTTCCAATCCGGGACAATGAATGATCAAGTTTATCGGGATGAGTGCCTCAAAAGGCGTCTTCTGTCATTTATCAACAGATAAGGAGTAGGCCATCGTTCTAGGCGGACATGGCAACCTGCCACTATGCCAAGGACACATTGCCGTGGTATAATGCAAATAACATCAATTTTGTACCTCACGACTGCAATCCAATCAATAGCCCAGAGCTACGTCCTGTTGGGGAATATTGGTCAATTGTCAATCTTGAAGAAAACAGGTAAAACAGTGAAAAATATTGAAGAGTGCAAAACAAAGTAGTTGTGCGCATCGCGTAAAGTCGATGATGCAGTCGTGCAGAACATGATGGCGCGTGTGCGATGAAAATACCGATCACTTGCATATGGAGCAAATAATAACTAATATTTTAACATTTTAATAACATCTAAACTTCCAAGTTATATAATACAAAAAAANAATAATTTCAAAGCCTGCTAGTTTGTTTCTGGTACTCATTTCTAAGTGTCGCAGTTTTGGTGTGTTCACCCTTTAATTGCCGCATTATTGCAGACTTGTTGCTTTCCAGATGACATGTTGCTGATGCTGAACTTAACCTTTTTTAAAACATTGCAGAAATTGAGCAGTAAAAATTTGTATGTTGCTTTTGATTTGCCAATGATGAGTAACTGATTGTCAAAATTTTGTTCGCCCAAATTTTCGCGTAGTACGTGATACTCTTTCATAAAAGAGCAACACTGCCGCATTAATTGCACCTCGAATACACCCATTTCTTACCTATACTGTGATACATATTTGAGTTATTTAATTACTTTAATTAAAGTTAAATTTGATTTTTTAAACCCTGGAAGGTTCCTTAGAGATAAAGTATTTTCAAACCCATTTCCATTGATACCCATATTGCAGCAATTCATTTAACTAATTGAACAAAATTGTTTAACAGGTGACAACTCTGTTAATGTTTTAACTTATATTTACTTGATTTTAAACATTTACAATTCTATATGTTTCGAGTTGAAATATTCATAAAAATAATTTTGGCCGCATAAATCGGCTAAATATCCCTATGTGCCGCGCTCGCACTTTAGCTGCTGCGCGGGCAAAAAAGTGACCACCTCTGGTATAAACAATGCAAAAAGACAATAGACTGCGAAAATCAGTATTGTCAATTTTGAAGAAAATTAACCTCTCATATGAGTTTGTAAATGATACAAGCTAAAGTAAAAAAATATCGAATTTTGAGATAAGTTTCGAAATACACTCAAATTCTTAAGTTTATTTTCATTTCATTCGGTATTATAACCTGAAGAAAGGGGAAGTGCATCAAATAAACCAATTGCGATATTTTCTACACCGTAAAATCTCCGTAGAAGATCCCCATAAGCCTAGAGGCCCTGTTCAATGTCATAACTGCCAGGAATTTGGTCACACACGTCGCTACTGCACCTTACCTGGTGTCTTTGTTATCTGTGGGGATTTACACACTTCCAAAGAATGTGTGAAACCAAAAATGCACCCGAAATCCAAAAAGTGCAGTAACTGCGGTGGAAATCACCCTGCTAATTATAGAGGTTGTCCAGTTTATATCTCAATGAAAGAGAAAGCAACTCCCAAAAATATTCCTATTAGGCATAACCCCGTACCAGAAATCGCTAAGCCAATGCCTGCGCCAATCACTGTTAATAATTTTACTTCTTATGCACAAATGCTGAAAAATACTCCTCCGACACAACATCTTTTTGGTCAGAATAGTAGTAACCTAGAAGCTACTATAAATAACTTTATGAAAGTTATGCAGGAGCAAATGATGGCAATGCAGAGCATAGTACAAGATTTGATTAAAAATCAAAATCTATTACTTCAAGCCATTTTACCTAAATCATGAATAATCTCAAAATTTGTTTTTATAATGCTATCGGGCTAACCCAGCATAAAAACGAACTAGAAATTTTCCTAGAGGGCTTTCATATAGACGTTTTGCTTGCATCTGAAACCCACCTTACGCAATTTAATAACTTTCAAATTAATGGGTACAAATTCTATGATACTAAGGGCCAATTTCAAATCGCCTATTTAAATACCGATTGATGATTTTTCATTTTTAGATGAAATATTTAAACTGTATTTAAATGCCGCATGTCGGCTATTTAAATATGGAAAATGCAACCCTGCTTTTCGACTAAACAGCAGCTGATTACTCAAAATAAAATATAAATAAGTAAATAAAAGGCAAAAGTTATTCAAATTAAATACTATTAAAATGAGTACGAGTGACGAAAGTGACATGGAATGCGAGGTTCTAGAGCGCATCATTATAACGCGACGTCCACGGTATATAAGGGATGCGCCAACCCGTTTCAGAGACTTCGACGAGAAGGATTTCCGGGACAGATTTCGTGTAAGCAAAGCGTCAGCATGGATGGTGTTAAGGATGATACGGGAAAAAATCCAACATAAAATTACATGGTAAACCCGATTTAGAGGAATTGTGTACTGCTTCTAATGACTTTTACTCCAGGAACAGTGCTCTAACTCCCGAAGAAATGCTTCTGGTCACTTTGCGATTCTATGCCACGGGTTGCATGCAAAGGACTGGAGGGGACTTAATCGGAGTTTCTAATAGCACTACTTCCCGAGTCATAAGGTTGGTTTCGCACCACATAGCTGTATTACGAGCGCAGTTTATTTCATTTCCCACAACTGCAGAAGAGCAAAGACGGCTGCACGAAAAGTTTTATTTAGTAGGGAAATTTCCTCGCGTGGTAGCGGCTTTAGACTGCACGCATATAAAAATAATATCACCAGGTCAGTGTCAGAAATTGAAAACTAATAACCAAATTCAACAAAAATTAAATAGTTTTGAATTGCTTTGTAAATAGCAAAGTTCTGTTCTTAGGGAAATATTTAGCTATTTGTACAACGATTTTGGTGTGAAGGCGGAGGGGGTGGAGCGTGCCCCCACCCCCCAAACCTCCCATAAAAGAAAGAGGATGGACCGCACTATATGAAAAGTAACCCACTCCCTCTCACATTCCCACATACCCCTTTGGGAGCTGTTTGAAGATAGGGAAAATTTGGATTTTTTGCAAAGGAAAACCTTCGGGCGCGCTTAGGAATTATAAAGTAGAATTCTTCTTTCTGTGTTGCCAAAGAATAGGGGCTGAACACCGTTTTTTTAATAAACTGTAGACTCTTGTCTAGAAGCGTGAGTAAAAGTTTCTTGATTTGGGTCACGAGTTTGGGTACAGAAACCCGAAATCGTTGTACACATAACTAAACTGTACCCTGTACTTATACGTATGTATACATGTACTTTTTATAGGAGGTCATGA